GGACCCCTATATCCTCAGGGGCCAGGTTCCAACCCCCCACCCCCTCCGTGGGTGCCTGAAACTCCTTCCACAGTTGCCATCTCTCCCCTGGTCTGCCCAGCTTATGCCCTCGTCCACACCTGCATAGCCAAGCTGGGGTAGCCCCACCAAGGGCCCCATGAGACCTCTTTTGAGTGCCATGAAACAGCAGCCAAATATGATTGGCATATACAAAGATGGTATTTTTTAACATGCCAGGGAGGTGCCTTTTAATAGACTTTTTCCCAGTGAGGCTAAAATATTTTACCCAGCCATGGGGATTCTGCACCTTGACTTTTGGGAAGGAGAGTGTCATTTGTTATCCTGTGTGTCTCACACAGTCAAATGTCTCAGCTTGGCTTTCCAACAAGCCACCCCCTGCTTAGCTCCAGAAATCAGAATGAAGAGTGTGCCACAGATGTGGACCCCCATCCCCACCCCAGCCAGCCAGCAGGACACTCGCCTAAAGTTACTTTTGCCCCCTGGCTAACTCTGTTATTCCTGACAAGTTGGAAGTGTTGACAGCGAGTTACTCTTGGGCACAGTTCCAAGAGACTGTTCCAATTTTACCCTCTGCAGTGTCACAGAGCAGAAGCCTACGATTAGTGCCCCTCGTCACCCCTTTCGGTCCCACCAGGAGCAGTTGCTTTGAGCCGAGAGGGCATGTTGCCCTTATCCCAGCCTGAGGGCCAATTTGGCTTTGGAGCTGCACCCGTAGCTCCCCTGCCAGTCATGGGCAGGGCCAAGGCAAAAGGGATGGAGCCCAAAACAGCAGCACATCTCAGCGTTAACGCTCCCCGTGTCAGTAGCCAAGCCTTCCGAGAAGAATTTTACAATATGAGAAAATGGCCCAAAAGTCAGGACGCCACCAGTTGGGAATGAAAGAGGCAGTTACTCTTTGCTTGAGGGCTGGAAAACAAGGTCTGGGGGTACAGAAATGGTGCGGGAGGACACTTTATCTCCAGGTGTTCAGGCAGACCCTGGGAACCGACAGGGGAGGGGACATGGAAGAGGAGCCATGGGAGATGGCCCCATCCCTGCCTCCATGACTCAGTATCAGGAGAGAAGGACGAGCCAGTTAGAGGACCTGCATATACCTAGGAGACTTGCCTGTCTCCAGAAGGGGACTTCCAGGGTTACTGAAAAAGGGGTTCTCAGAAATAGTTTCAAGGTTGGGAGCAACAAACCCCTCTGTGCATGCTCAGACCTGTTTCCTCTGTTGGCTTTTAGTTTTCTGGCTGTAGGCTGGAATAAAGTGCTTTTTGTCAAAGAACTGTTGCTGGAAGGAAGGAGGAGCAAACCCAGCCCCTGATATCATCTTGTGAATGGTGGTTGTGGAGGCGGTCGTGGGCCAGGGAAGGGGGGTGCAACCATCTGAGAGACTGCAGAAGGCCTAGCTGAAAAACCAGAGGGCTGCATTTAGCCTATGGGTCTGCATTCAACAGCCCTGCTTAAAAGCAGTCAGCTCGGAAGTGTGGTTCTTACAGCAGGGAAGCCGCTGGCCCCAGTTCCACTGTGAGCAGCAACAGCGCTCAGTTCAGTGGTGAGGGAGAAAGGTGGGCTGGAGATGCTTCTGCTTTACTGGCTCTCTGTGTGCAGGGCAAGCAGGCAGGAGCAAGGTGAGGAGCCGGTGGGAAGGCAGGACAAGACCCACAGAGAAGCCTTTGTCCTGGGATTCTCCCAGCTCCCGGCTGCCTACACTGCAGGGCGAGAAGGGTGGGTTTTGGATCCTGCACTTTTGCGAGGCCAAAGATCTGCACTGCATCTCCTTCTGCACCTCCCATTCTAGCACACAGATCTGTGCAAGGAAACTGGTATCACACACAAATGACTCTTGGTGAATTGAGGCAAATGAGGGCCTTTGGGCAAACTGCTCTGTCTTAATCCTGGGCCACCCAAAAGATGCCCTATTTCATTCTGTGCCAGCAATTAAAAAGGTTGATGGGTTTAATTGATATTGCACCGATTACTGATATTTTGAACACCTCGTAAAATGCTATGTGAAATATTATCATTAATGTAGGTCAGGAATAATTAAAAAGCTAGCTTCCCAGAGAGAGAAAAAAGTTTTGCCCAGGTTTGTTCTGCAGTTCATGTACATTGTATGATAATATCTAGCCTCATCTTCTCTCCTTGTGTTGAAGAACTAATGAAGATCCTGCGTGGCCAGCGATTCCATTGTGTATGCCTTGGCTTTGTTAAAAGAATAAACTGCTCTCTCACTGGCAAATGGTGATCCCATTTGCTTGAGTAGGGAAAGCACTCATGGAATGAAAAATTTAACAGACAGCTTGATGAATCTTTAATGGGAGTTGAATTCCATTTCCCAGGAGTGAAAGTGCCTGCCAGGGAAGGTGAATTCTTCAGAAATGGAGAGGGAATGACCTGGTTCACATGATCAAAATACACTAGGGTGGAATATGTGGGCTGCAGCATGTGCTGGACCCTTGCAGGCCTGATTTCCATGATGCACACGCATTATTGGAGGGTTGTTTCTCCCTCCACCCAGATTTGGACAATAAGACAAGCTGTTCCTGTGGGGAGATTATGGAAATTGTGCCCTGAACACATTCAGAATGTCCTGTGATTTAAATAAGCCACTATGACTTATTCCAATAGTGTGAACTGGCCCAAAGAGAGGGAGAAGAACATGAATTTAAAAATAAAGGTTCCACATTTCCAATGTTATACAAGAATTTTTAATGCTATCTTAAATTAACTTTAATTGCTGTTAATATTTTTATCTGTTATATATTATCTGTTATTGTCTTTATACTTTGTTGCAAACTGCCCAGTGAGCTTTGGCTATGGGTGGTATAGAAACGAACTGAATTGAATTCTATTCTATTCATTATTAGAAGCAGGCAGTATACAGGTCTAAAAGTAATACTAAGACCATCTCCAGGTGTTCAGGCAGACCCTAGGAACTGCCAGGGTCCCTGAGCCCATGACACGGCATCAGAATCAAATCCTCTACTCGGTGGAACACATCTAGGAAGGACAACCAACATGGTCAGAGGGACAGGGGCATCTTGTGCGCAAAGAAAAGTGAAGCATTTGCTGGACCAGCATTCAGGTGAGGCATAATCAGGCAGCCCCCAGAGCCCACAGCCAAGCAGGAGCCCCCCCCACAAGAACCCCCCAGAGAGGTCCCTCCTCTTCACCATTACACCTTGTGGCATCTTCACCTGCCACCCAAACAATATCAGGAGAGAAGGAAAGTGTGCAGCGAAGACCATGGCCAGCCTCTTCCGATCTCTGTGCCTGTGCAGCAAAAGATGGTGGTGAAGATGGGCAAGAAGACAAGAAGCGGAACAGCTGGTGCCAGTGGCAGTGGGAAAGCCGAGTCCCTGAGAGGCCTTGCCCTCAGTGAGCATTTGGCCCCTTCTGAGTGAGGGAGAGCGGACCCTAAGCGGATGGATGTCCATGGGTCCTGCTTTGCAAAGGGCAGTTCTGTCCAAAGGGCTGTCCAATCCAAGTCCACGTGAAACGGGAGAGAAATCTATGCCACTGGAGTTGTTGTACCCGATTCCAGTAGCCCCAGGCAGAGTGGTCAATGGTCATGGCTAACAGCTGAAGTCCAGAACCATCTGGAGGGCCACCAGATGAAACCCCTAAGAATGAAGGGCCCTGAAGCTGCCCATCCGCAAGGAGTGCCTGGATGGCAGACTGAAGAGATAAGCAAACAGCTACAGTCTTCCCGCCACGGTGAGCTCTATTTTATTTCTCTTTAAATTAGCGGAATATTTCCCACCTATGCATCTGTATCAGCTTGTGCAAATTCTAGGTAAATCAGAGCTGCTTACTCCCATATGATTCCCCGTAAGTTCCTGCAAACGCACAAGCAAGACAAGTACACACAGCACCAACCAACAAAGAAACATGCATGGAAAAAGTCCTTTGCTGTTTCTAGGGCATTTGGAATATTGTTTAGCTGACAATTCCCATCATGCCGGCCAGCATAGCACGGTGATGAATGCTGTAAACTATAAACCACCAAAACATCTGGAGGGTCTTTCCAATAAATAATGTACTTCCAACCACCTGTGTAGATATACACAGCTGTTTCTGCCTGCCATTCCACCAGTCCTAGTCCGGCCTCCCCCAGCTTGGTGCTTTCCAGATGTGTCAGAGTACAACTCTCATTCCGGAATGCCTAGAGTTCTATGAAGTGTCGTTTTCAAAAACACCCACCAGTAATGATAATCTTCCCCAACTGATTTGTTCTCTGCACTGCCACCAACTGGCTGTGCTCACAGGAGTTTGTTTTTTCTTGGCACTGAAGGCAACTTGCTAGAACCTTGCACTGCGGGTGGCCTTCCCATAAATAAAAGCAACGAAGGGAAAATGGGTTTGAGTCATGCAGGTATATTGCTGAAGCTTGTTATGCCTGGTGTCATTAATAATCCTGAGTTATTCATGAGCCAATAAAAGGCGAAAATAATGAAAGGTGAACCACAGGCATCATGCACTTTAGTAGGCTTTAATGTGTCACTAGTCCATTTGGGGGATTGGGTGCCCCAGTATTCAGCAGCAGGGGAATGGTACAGCCCTAAAAACTCCTACCTTGCTGCCTGGAACATGCCAGGAGTTGCAGGACTTTTTTTCCTGCTTTCCTTTTTCCCCCACATGTTTCTAGTGCTGAGGAATCTGGAAACATAGAAGCAGGTGCTCACACGTCATTCCTTATACTGGATATGAGGAAACGCACATGCATGTGGAGATGGCCTGGTATCATGATGTATGGAAGGCATGTCACTGTCTGGAGCAGAGGCACCGTCTGCAAAAGGTACAGAGGGCAGACACCTAACACAGGAAAGACACTTAACTACTACTTGGCTTCCTGTTTGTGGTTTAGGACCTTCAGGCAAGTCTTTTCACCTCACTTAACAGGATCAGAACGTACATTTCTACAAAATGAGCATACTTGCTTCCTTGAAATTTGCAGCGGGAAAGGAAAATATAAATAAATCACCCAGGCCTTTAAATTTAGAAATTTATTTTGTTTAATCCACAAGCTTTATAATAGCTTCAGTATTTAAAAAAAAAAACAAAATGAAAACCCCCAGTGAGAGCATGACAATATCCAAGGTTCAGGTCCTTTAGACTTTCAGAAATCACAGCTCTGAAAGGTACACACTATTCCAAAGGACCGCAACAAGACCAAAAGAAAAAAAAAAAGAAAAGAAAAAGAAAAAGGGCAACAACAACAATTCACAAAACAAAAACATATGCCAAATTTTGCTGAGACTGCTGATCATGGAAACTGCATTTTTAAAAGAAGAAAAACAAGACTGGGCAGGGGAGAGAAATAAGAAAATTAGAATTCCAGTGTTCCAAATAAACCTATTACATCACTATGAACTCACGGTGTTCTGGCAACCAACAGGGTATGATGTAAGCACCATCCTCAGATGCTAATCCTGGTCTGAAACACAGGGGATGCAGGAAAACAGAGATATCTGGGTATCTGCAAATGTTCCTATGGACAGCGGTTTCCCTGTTTGGATAGACCACAAAGGCCTACAGCAAGAAACAAGATTAGGAACTTCCTAAGCATTTATGCTATGGCATTTTAGAGGAATGTCGGGTCTGTCAGCTTTGTTTTAAAATCCTTGAACGGTGGGGGAGGAAAACCCTTACTGCATGAGAGAATCCTAGTGAAACCATGTCAACTGTCGAAGGAGGTCACTAATACACTGTGAATGCTTGTTTGTAATGAAGATCCATGCCCTTTTTGTTTTTACATGGTGAACTTCAACCTAGCAATTATTACAACCAATGTTAAAGTCTAAAGCTCAAACACATTTTAGCAATTTGAAGTCTGAGTACAAATCAAATAAAATGTACATTATATCAAATGCTGTCTCAGCCTAAGATGGTGGGGATGCCTGCGCCTTCCTCATCGATCTCAAAGCCTTCTCACGCAGATGCTTTTCCAAGTCATCTAGGTTATCTTCTGCTTCACTCTCAGTCTCCTTAATGCAATGGAAAATCAACAATTAATGTTTTAGTTACAGGATATGATCCTGAGTTAGATTTGTCCACAGATCAGAAACTTGCATGATAAACACAACCAGAGATCTAGGAATTTAGCTGATAGCTTCCATGTTAGGAATTCTAGTTTGAGAAATTAGCCACAGACCCCACAAACATGAATTAGATGCAAAACCAGATTTTGATTCCATTCCCTCATGAGAACGTAAATCGCATTTGTGCACTGGCTGTTCAAGGCAAACCACTCAGGTCCAATTCCAAACTGTGTGTTATGCAACCCAGTCAAGGTGCTGATGTCTCTCTTTTCTATTTTTCATGTGATCCAAAAGGAAGTCTTCATCCACTGAGTGCTCTTACTGAGGACACATCTCCTCTTCCATTTTTGACACATGAACTAGGTTTACCTGGGATGTCCAGACATGTGATCACAAGATTCCCATCTTAAATATGCAAGATATATTTATATGCACGACACATGTCTGACCCATGAAGGATGCATGATTCAATACCCACAGCTTACATGAGGAATTGGAAAAATAGGCTTGGAAACAGCAGCCACAGACTTGTTCAGCCCAAACTCCAGCCTGGCCCTCTGGTTGCTGACCCTTTCCTATATAGCAATAGTGTATACAATTCTGAGCTGTAATGGCAGGGTTCCCATACTAAAAACCTACTACGCTCCCACACAAAAACAGAGAACCTGCAGCTGTCTGGAGCACAGAGCCTATAAGTATGTTTGAACAAGGATGCAATATTAAACAACATAGGATGTTTTCTGTAAAATACACTGTAATAGCTTGGTGATTTGATCCCTGAATCCTTAATATTAAATATGTCAGTCAGTTTCCAACCTATCCAAGTGAAGGAATATAGAAAATGTAATAGTTTAAGACTATTTGGAATAGATATAAATAGTCACCTTTTTGGGCTCTGTTGTTTTCTCTTGGTCTTCTTCTGCAGACGTGGTAAAAACGGTCATTGCAGCAGCAACCGCAGCCTTCTCCTTCTTATGTTTTTTGTGCTTCTTGTGCTTCTTATCCTTTTTATGTTTTTTATCCTTCTTTTTCTTCTTCTTCTTGCCACCACCTTCCTGATCAGAATTCTATAATGTCAAACAATAATTATTATGCATTAACTTTAAACTATTCATGAAAGTAAACTATTTAAACTATTCAAGACAGTAAACTTAACATTTAAGAAATCAAGCAATACATTAGTTTGTGCAGGAAGACCTGCACAGCTTTCACATTTGAAATAAAAGCTGGCACATCATATAATAACACTGGGAAGCCACTTACAAATTAGCTCAGCAGTCAGATTTAGAGCTGCATTAGCCACAGAGAATGTGCTTTTTTGCTGCATACAGGGCATACACTGACACGTACCCTTACTGGTGAGGGACTTGGTGTGGGACTTTTTGCTTTCTTTGCAGGTGCTGCTGGTGACCAGTGAGCAGAAGGTGATCGAGACCGAACTGGAGATGGAGGAGCTGGATGCTTCTTAGGTGGTGGTTCAGGTGATCCTGAAGCAGACCTGGATGAAGATCGTCTTCTCACAGAATGTGGACTTGGTGTAGAGGCCCTTAGAAAACATACAAGCACAGAGTATTTTACACTTTCTAGAAAACATGTCTTAACAGGAAATGAAGTCTTCTACTCAGAATCACCTATAAAGCTCCATGTGTTACACTAAGCCCAAGTGAAAGGCAGTTGTGGAGGCACATGCCACTCCCAGCCTACAAGAACTACGGAATCACAATAGCACAGAGGCCTACTCTATATTCTTACCACTTCTCAGCCTGAGCAAACAAAGAACAAATCTTGAGTTCTCTTACTTAGAATTATGTAGCCTACTTATACATTCAAATTGACACATTTCACTCACTTCTTCAACTTCTTGGGCTCTGGAGTTCTTGAGACTCTCCTGATGGGACGAGTACTTGGAGAGGGAGACTGTCTTCGCTGAGGCGACAAGGATGGCCCCCTGCGCAGCAGCGGGGGACTCGCAGAGGTATGGGAGGGTCTAGGTTGTGGGGAAGGTGAATGCCGTTTGTTCTGCAGTGGGGACCGGTTTTCACGGTTGGACCTGCTGGGAGGAGATCCTTTCCTGTGCTTGGAAGATATTGATGGTGAACGTCTCTTTGCAGGTGGAGAGCTTCTTTGTTTTGGTGGCGGAGAATGAGAGACTCTGAGTTTAGTTTGTGGAGAAGGAGATGCCCTTCTTTTGGGAGGGGGAGAAGCTGTTCGTCTCTTCGGGGGTGGTGAAGGGGAATACCTTCTCTGTATTGGAGGAGAATATCTTCTGGGAGTGGGAGAGTGCCGGCGAGGAGGTGGTGATGGAGACCTGGTAAACAAACAGAAGAAAGAAGTTTGGGAAAGGTGCCTAGATATTAGCAAATGCTATTTAATGAGTAAAGTCAAACAACAACCACAATAACAAAAGAGTAGGGGATAGTAAAGAATGCATTTTTGTGATAGTTTTTAAGTGCCACTGTACAAATGGATTAGGAAGGCTGCTTAGTCTTTTCCAGAATTTTTTAAACAATCTACTAAACCATTTTCTAAATAAGTATTTTAAACTCTGGAGTTTAATTGAGCTGTTACCAACTGGATGGTTTTCTATGTATTCACTGTTTAATTTTTGTAAACTATCTTGAAATCATTGATAAAAGGTGAATATTTAAATAAGTCAAGTACTAACAGGGTTGTTGTGGGGATAAGACTGAGAGCAGGAGGGGAGAGCTGCTGTGAGCTTGTTGTAAGAAAAAAGTCAGACAGAAAGTTAAATAAATAAATAGACTGTCCCAAGACAGTTGTAATCGGACGGTATACAAAAATCTTAAACAAAATAATGGCGCTTCAACAGTTATGCCTCTTTAAAATATTTAGTAATTTAACAGCCAGTTTTGAAATGAATACAGGTGCCTGTATCAAATAAGACATGCTGACTGAAGCTGATTCCTATGTCTCAGCATCCTTTTTATTTTGACATGTTATTTTACAGATAGAAAGCGACTGCATTACCTTCGACGTTGTAACGAAGGTGACCGACGCCGTCTTGGAGGAGGGGCAGGGGAAGGGGAACGTCGTCTTCGGGCAGGCAGTGGCGAAGGACTTCGCCTCCTCCTACTACGGGAGAGAGGGGAAGAGCTCAAAAGACAATTCCTGAAGAGAAGCATCAGCATGACAGCCTACAGAGAGGCTTGCTACTAGCAAGGCATCAGTATCCTGTTCCTTAGCTACAACCAGTAAGCCCTGGATTAAGCATGGAAGGTGCTCTTCAGAGCAGCCAACAGGCCTTTCTGCTTGTGGTGATCAGACAAAGCAGGAGGGGGGCACTCTTGAGCTCATAAATGGCTGAGTGCACAAAAGACCCGCAGCTCTGCCCATGGCATCAGCACATGTATGAAAAGCCTGCCCCTCTCCTTGCATGAGCAATGCACATCCTTAGGGCGCAACACTATATTGACAGACACTGCAGCAACTGGCATTCATTTTACCTATCCTCTTTCCTGGCATGTGTATCACACCTAATCAGAGATGAAACAGGCACTGAACAATAAGAGGTCTGCCAAACACACAGACAGGACTTGTCCAGGGCGTTTGTGTCCAGCTCATTTCAGTCCTATTCTGCATGTAATTTAATGTTAAATTGGCTTGATCTTTGCCACTGAAACGATAATATAGTCAGTAAGAAAACTTTGCTGCTCCAGAAATATTTTCTCAGTTCTCCCCTATACACACATTGCTCTTGCCACTCTGTGCTTCTCCCTCTTAATCTAGGATGCTTTGATCACCAGTAGGCTTCACTACAGCCGTGCAGGACTGTAATATTAAAGATCTCAATAGAGACTACATTATGCTGTGAAGTATTTGCTTGCTTTTTCAACTTTAAGTTTTCAATAATGCAGAAGCTGATGAAATAAATACCCCCCCTTTCCTTTTTTTAACAAACTGAGCTACCCATCCTGAACAATACCTAAACATCCCGCATGGCAAAGCACTTTTACAATCAAGGTACATTTTTCAACTTTCATAGAGGTAGTGGATTCTGGGGGATAGAGGAAGGCAATTTAACCACTTCCGCACAAAACACTAAACGTGCATTAATGGACAATTTGCTTCTTTGATCAGCCAGTTTTATTTGCTTTATTTTATCTTTCCTTTCCCCTTCACAGCTGCAGTTGTAGTAAAAGGCAGCAAAGCAGATTGGAGAAGCACTAGAAAATAACCACTCATTTGTTCATCTCCCACAGCATTTTAGGGTGGTGGTGGGGGAGGGTGACAACCTGGCTGTGGTTAAATCAAATGCATCTTTTCAGGAAGGCCTTAAACCTTAATCCTAACTAGCAGATTAATCTGCTAACTAACCTTTTAACAATTGGCGACTGCCACCTCTTTCCCATCTGCATCCTGACAGCAGTGGAGGGGGGAAAAATGGAGAAGTCAAACATCCCACAGAATTACATGCAAGGATGAACTAGCAGGCAGAAAGTCACCACTCTTAGCAATTGACTAACCCCTTTATGCTGGCCCGGAAGCAGCTTCCACTATGAATCCTAATGACTAAATCAGAAAAAGCCATTCGTGTAAATGGAGTGGAACAGCAGAAACATTGAGGCTAAAGTGATAGCAGAAACTTGACAGATTATTCTCAAATGGGGGCATGTGCTGCACTGAGTTCTTACTGCAAACAATTCAACATTTCAGTATGTTCTAACTGACAGGCAAGGAACAAAACTACCTTGACTGTTACTAGTGAAGAGCAGCCTGTGTACATAAAACAAAGGAAGTTACCGAGGAGAAGATTCTTTCTGCCACTTTCGTGGAGAAGGAGATGGGCTTCGGGAATGGGAGTGCCGCCGGCGTCTACCCACTTCACCATTCTTCACATTCGATTTTTTGGGCCTTTCTTCTTCAGAGGAAGATGATGAACCAGAATCTGTAACAAAAAGGACAACTGAATTACTAAAATGCAACAGGATTCTGACACACTGTGCACTGGAGGTACTCCTAAAATTATTTTTAAACAGCTCTGTACAAAACAGCAAGCTAAACTTTCTTCAAATGATTTTCTGCAATCCATTTGAGAGGGTGTCAGACTGTCAATGAACCTCCAGAATCAAAATCAAAGGCATCAAGCTTCTATAACAAGGAATTAATGGTAGCTTTATAAATCAATGTGAACAAGTATATAACTGTGGCTGGTTAACAGTTTCATAACAAATCAATGAGCTCTCTATTTAAACGGGTCTTCTCTGGATGGGAAGATGCGAGTTCCACCCATGAACAGGCTAACAGTCTAGCACTGGTTATGCTGTGGCAGCAACTAAGCCATACATGCGATGACATTTCAAGCATATTCTACTCCATTTTCCTTCAGTTGAAGCATAAAGTTCAAATCAAGTGCCTTTAGATCCCAAGGACAGTAGGTCAACTGTTTTATTAAAAACATGAAAAAATTAAACACCGGTAGGAACCAATCAAGAAATATTAAAGAACATAATGCACCACTTCCAGCAAGAGGCATCTTGTATTTTTCAGAACCAGGGATTTAAGATGTTAATAAAACTATACAGCATAACATATTCCCCCCACACTAGTGATGTTTTCACTCCACTGAAACATGGCAGCACAGTGACAGCAAAAGACAATCTGCAGCTTGCCACCAAGTTTCAGCAGTAAACTGCATCAGAGGCTGAAGTGCCTTTTCAGCTTCTGTGGTGGTATGTGGCAAAACTTGGCAGCAAACAGTCAATTTTTTTGGCTGGTGCAGTGGCAGGAGCGCCACTGGAGTTGCCCACCCCTGCTATAACATGCCAGCAATTCTTGGGCATCAAAGATTGATTTAGGATCACAGACAGAATTCTCTCCTTGCCTTATTTCAACAACATAAGAACTGTTCTTCTTCTTCCCCATCCCTAACAGCAGTCCTATTCATACCTTCTTCCAAAGCAAAATGTCCTAAGTCTAAAAGCCAAATTCTTTAAGAGTTTATGACATCTATCACTAATTCCCAAATGTATGATTAGGTAACAAATACTGAAAAAAGACAAAAAACACAAATCCAAGGTTCAGTCAAATTATAGGTTTGCAGTAAAAGCCACTTTTAACAACTCAAATTAACTGATGGATTGATTGTAGACTTCTTTGGAAGAAACCCCAGTGAATAAGACAAAACTTATTTACAAGTAAGTTTGCATAGGTATAGGCAGCAAAACTGTAAAATGCCATACCAGATGAAGACTGCTGGTTCTGCCTTCTGTACTGTCGTCTTTGCTGCACAGAATCTGCAGCTGCCATTTTACCACCTTTGTCCTCTTCTGAAAAGTGTGCGAATTAAAAAAAATGAAGAATTATATTTAGAGCCTATTTCATGTTAGTAATAACTTGCTGAGCACGTTCTTGTGGCTCCTTGTTTTCTTTATGCTGCACAGTTGAAGATGCAATTTTTTAGGGTTTGGGCATCTGAAATTGGTATGTATGATTATGGGCTTTGCTTGCAAGCTTTGTCCTGCTACTGCAATTGGACTGGACAGTTTGTCTGATTTTAACTGTTTGTTCACCTTGGATTTTTGTAGAGAAAAGATGGGGTATAAATATTTCAATAACTAAATTATGATGTTTCTTCATGTAAAAGAGGTACAAACCAGACATGTCTACAACAAATGCAAATGGGTACTAGGGTGCCCAATACATCTAGCCTCCTAACACTTGCCAGTATCACAGAACTCCCAAATACAGAGCTTGAATATTAAAACGTTTGCTTGGAAACTCACCAGATTCTGATAATTCTACTTTTCTAGGCTTTGGCGCCGGCGAAGGAGATTCCCTTTTTTCAATATTTTTATGTTTGGGTGCTGAAAAGAAGAAAATGGAAATGTAAGCGCCAGGAAAAGAAATCACGTGCATAATGTTTATAGCACTAAGTATTAACTATACCACCATTCTTGTGAGGGGCGAGAATCAACTTTCTGGCCAGCAATGAAAGGTTCTTGAAGGGCTCTGAATAAGTCACTCATCCTCACCCTGAGCTACCAAATAGGAATGACTGCAAGGATCAAGCGAGGACTGTAACCAGCCCTAAGCCCACAGAATAGGGGGAAAAAGTGAATTTAAACACAAAAATAGCATAGACCCATAACTTGTCAGGCAAATCTTTGCTACTTTCCTTCATAAACGGAGAAGGTGAATGGCAAGATACGACTGGATCATCTGTGCTGAAAGCGGAATCAAAAACTCTTATATCCAAGACCACTTCTACACACTGATTCACAGTGACCGGGTTTTTCTAATCATTTATTAATGATATTTAAGGCTTCTCTAAGCTCAAGGGTACAGGGGGAGGCAAAAAGGGCAAATACCAGCACATACTTCATCTCTATACATATTTTATGTCACTATTTCCATTAAGCCTGGGGTGTCAAAGGCAGCAGCAGGCAAAGTAATGCTGCCACCTTCTCAAACAGCAAACAGCAAGCAGGTGTTAAAGCAAAGAAGACAAAGCTGCTCATACAGCCTAGCACAAGCGGCTGCTGAGTCCAGTGCTCTTCTGAGTAATGTGGACTGCCGATTTTGCAGTGTTATTAAAAGCACACTGTGTTATTAAAAGCACACAGGCACCTACACAACCCATGTACTGCCGCCTTTTCAGCTCTTCTGACTAAGGGGTTAGGGCCTGGGCTGCTGGATGGAAGATATCATCCCTGCAAAGTCTCCTGGAGAAGCTATTCAGTGCACCCCCTTGGTATGGTTGGATCACACAGGATTACTTGCATGGGCCTGCTGTATGGACAGCCTTGTCTCAAGGAATAAGATTTCCTAGACTGTTTTTGGAAGGTGCGCAGGCTCTCATGCATTCCAAAAGAACACAGCTTGAAGTGTAAAGCAATTCCTCTGAACATAACAATACTTACAGGAAGTTGTGCATTCCCTCTCTTTACTTTGAGAAGGAGAAGCTAAGACACTCCAGATCCTAGCTGCTCAAAAACTTCGTGAAGGTATACACATATAAGGTATACACATATAAACAGACTGGCTTGGAGAAATGCCACATTCAGTTCACTTTACCTGAAGTTCTACTGGGAGAAACTGAGCCCCGTGTTTTTCTTGTACGGCTTGACTGCTGAGGTGTTGGAGACCGTCGTGGTTTGGGAGGTGGACTTAGTGGTGGAGAGGGTCGGTGCCTTCGCCTAGGAGGACTTGCAGAAGGAGAAAGTCTCCGTGTTTTACGAGGAGGGCTGGAAACAACTCTTTTAGGTGGCTTCTTTGGTGGAGATCGGGAACGTGAAGAGGAGGAGGAGGAACTGCTTCCTGACAGAGAGGCTGATGACCGTCTTCTCCTGCAAAATGCAAGTAGGTATCAAGTATACTCTAAGCATGACTAGCTAACTTTACAACATTTACACTGCCCTGCAGGCTTACAAAGATCTTACTAGCTCCTTCTAGAATGGAAGCTAAGGCCATCAATGGCTATATATTATGCCCAATATCAAAAAAAGTATGCCTCTGAATAAGAGTTGCTGAGCAACACAAGCAGGATGGTGTTACTACACTTAAGTCCTGCTTGTGCGCTTCCCTGATTAGCCACTGTGGCAATAGAATGCTAGACAAGATCGGCCTTTGGTCTGACTCAGCACAGCTCTTAAACTACTTTGTTTTTAATACTTCCTAACACATCGTGAAAAGAAAACAAATTACAAAAGTTTCGTAAAAGCAGTATTTGCTTACTGCTTAGGAACAAAAGGACTCAATTAACAGGAATTCACAAATCATCTTTTCAAAAAACGTGTTTCATATAGCCCAAATACAAGGTGATTAATATTACGTATTTTTGCAAACATGAAAAATGAACACACCAGCATGGAGTCAGAAATTAAGACTGATTTAGCAGACTGTGCTTAAAGGCCTCTAGAATTCTGCGGCACAATTTGTGGTCAGTTCTGTTGCTATTATGTACCTGCTGACTCCACCTTTGGCTGCAGAATTCCTGAGAACCTGAAAAAAAGAAACCCTACCTTGAGCAATTCTCCTTAGAAGTGGTGTCATACAGCTATAAAAATATATTTTGTTAACAACCTCTCCGAAAGAATATTCAATTGCTAATCGGATTTGTGCGTGTCAGTGTGTGCAGATTGTAGCACTTCTGCATTATCAGTTATATTATTATCCTATATTATTCAGCAGCCCTATGTTATCAACATCCTGTATCACCAGAATATCGAGAAAATGGTCCCATGTTATTTAGGGGCAGTGGTTCTCAAGCTGCATTGTGGGAAACCCTGGGACTTGAAGGGTGCCTTGCCCAATGTGGTGGACCATCCTCTGTAATGTACAAACCTATCCTGGTAGGCAGGTGGGGGGGTGGGGGGGGGAGATAGAAACTCAGTGTCTACTTTCCTACATACTTAAATATCCTCAGCATTCACAGGAATTCTATTGAAGAGACTTAAGATTTCATAGATAAGTTCATAATAAAAGGGTTCAAAAACACTTTTAAGGGGTTTTGGTTTAGCTTGCAAATTAGTTAAGAAAAGGGTTATTATAAAAGAGTAAAAGTTTTGTCATGAAACAAAAAATCAAAGCTGTCTATTTTTCCTCTAACCCCAAAACATTTTGGTTTGTTACAACTGCCTATCTGGCAGTTAGGTGCAGGAAGTTCAACCCTTATACTGACTGTCTGGGGCAAAGGCCTGTACATAAAACATCTGCTTGTGTAATATAAAGGGCACAAAGAAATGCAAACTGTTCTTTTAGCTCTTGAAATTTCACTGTTTCATAACCTTTACTTTAGTGTAGGCTACTTCTAGCGAGGAAGTCAGTACCTACAGAAGAAGTTCTAATTAGATTATTAGTGTAAGCTTTTTTTAAAAAATCTAGCAGTCATGATATATTGTGCAAAAGAAATTCTTTTTAGAAACTTACTTCCCTGTTCACTTTTCATATATAGCTCTTGTTATGAATGTTGTGCAGAAAGCTTTGAATATAGGGAGACTCATAAATAAAATTATTGTTCATCACTATTATGATTGATTGTGATGATGCAATACTGAACTTTGTCCATCAGAACTTTAAAGAGTAAAGCAATGCACGCCCAAATTCAAGGCAAATGGCAAACTATTTTCTCTTGTCTTTGTCTCGTTTGAAGAAAAATAAAACTTCTTATGAGCTGAAGTAACCAAAATGTTAACTTATTCAAATAGTACTATTGTTGACCCTTTCTTACCGTCTCACAGGAGATCTGCTCCTCCTGTGTCTGGGTGGAGGTGGGATGCGTCTTGGTGGGCTTCTTCTCCGTGGGGATGGACGTCGTCTTGGGCTGGGTCTCCTCCTTGGAGAATAAGACCTACCAATACAGTTCATGAAAAATCAGATAGGGAAGCAGCTACTTCCTCATTTACAAGGCCAAAACTTTGCCAAATCTCCAGAAAGGACAACATTATGTGTTGTGTAGCCAAAATTTACCTACGTGCCACTCCTAAAAAAAACATGGAGCCACAGTTAATATTCATGTGCAGCAGGATTAGAACTACTTCCACATGGTGTCCCCAGACTAATCCATTACTGCACACAAATCAAGGTGCTTTAAGACAGGGGTAAGCAACCTCTTTGGGTCCAAGGCTTGGATGACTGCCAGCTTTCTATGATGCCACTGGGCACTACCACAGCTACTTCCCCCATGCTATGCAGAGATGATGATGGATAGCCACACCTCCATCCTATGCCTTTTATGTCTCAAACAGAACAGTACAACCAGGGCTTGAAAGACAGGCTCCTGCAATCTGCAGCTGAGGTACAGGAGAATTCCCTTCTTATCACGTGCCCAGCCCCCTGCAGGTCTTTACTGCCCATGCCTGAACTAAGAGAGTACAAAATAGACTTGATGAGGAGAAATCCTTCAACCATGATGACATGGGGGGAAATGGGCTTCATATCCTTAATTTCCCCCATAAACAGAGTAGGAAGAGCATATATGTTCAAGCATGGAAAAAATTTAATTCTCTAACCTGGATCGTGTTCTATGACGTCTTCTGGGCCTTGAATGAGATGGAGAACGTGAGCGAGACTTTGACCTTGACTTGGATCGGGATGGAGACCTTGGTCGAGTCTTCTCCTTTTCTTTCTCCCTTTCCTTCTTTGAAATTCTTTCTGGAGATATTTCTTTAGTATCTGGCATGGGTTCAACTTTAGGTACTTTCAAAATGTCACTGTTAAAATAAAATGTTAAGATTAAACTAAGGATTAGAATGTGAGAAAGACCTTAGACAAATATGAGCAGTTTCCAATTACTTGCACAATCACCATAGTGTGAATGGCTGCACAATCTGTTCTGCGAGTGATTATGAATTACCCTTGCAAAAATCTTTGGCAAACTGTTTCTGCATTACACGTGTGCAATATGGTTGACAAAGCATAACGAGCAACCACTTGCACACTGGAAATTTCGTGGATCTCTACCAACACTACCTGGATATTGTCCTAAGGCTGCAGTCTGACAAACTTGACAGACTCCTTGCATGTGACTCCATATGGCACCTTTTATGCCAGCTATGAACTTAAAGGCCATGTCCCAGCAATAGCAGTCTATTAGGAAGAGAGTTCTTCAGGTCATTTGCACAGCAAAGCTGGCAACTCCCTATTGGTCAGCCATAATTGGAGAAAGCCTCTGCCACCATTCGGTTAAACTTTCAATCTCACATTTTCATGTCTTCCCACTGCTGACTGGTCATCTTCAAAATTTACTTTAAAAGTGATGAAATTTTATTAATTTATCATTTCGTCTTGCTAAATATTATCTGAATTAGCCCACAGGTCAAACATCTTATTTGGGAATCAAAGATGTTACTTGAAATGTCTTGCAAGTCAGTATCATTGTGTTAAGAAATGGAACAAATAGAGCTATAGTTGTGAATACAAAGCAAGTATTCACAAGTACACACACACACGCCCAGCTATCTAACGCATAGTATCAAGTTTCAGAAGAACATGGTAGCAAAGCTAGAAAGAAAAAGTCCTGACCAGTAGTAATACCTAGTAGATGTAGCCTCCTGGATCAATGTTTCTTTTACTTTTACCGAAGGCTCTGGCTCAGGAGTCTCTTCTTTCTTTTCTGGTGCAGGAGTAGCACTACGACTCTTTGTTGCATGATGCGGGGATCGGGAATGGCTGTGTTTTCTTTCTTTCCTGACAGGGGATGAGCGTCTTCGAGGGGAAGGGGATCTTGATTTGCGCCTAGGGCAAATTATGCTTAATTAATCACATACAAACTAATTATGCTTAATTAATCACATAAGAATTTATTAGATAGAAACACTGAGTGGGAAAGAACACCACGCTGTAAAACTAGGTGAAACTAAGGTTCAAATTTTAAATAATGCACTATCCAAGAAAATTCATTAGCTGAGCTGCTCTACCACAGAAGAGAATGGGTTCAACACTTCCAAGGGTTATATTTGAGAATACAGATTAACCCCATAAATAATGAATTACCTTCTAGGGCTTCGAGATCGGTCCCTCTTTTCTCTGTTCTCCTTATCTTCTTTGTCTCTTTTATCCTTGTCTTCATCTTGTTTCTTCATAGAAGCCAATTTTTCCTGTTCGATCTGAAAAATACATTAATGCTTGTTTCAGAAGCAAAGTTTGAGAAGTAAATGCTGGACATATACAGTATGATAAAGAATGCATTCTGGATACTTTATATTACATTATCTTGTAATCCTTACAACCATCCTGTATATGCAGTCCAGAGAGTATTGTTTAATTTCTATACTGCCTATTAGTCAAAATGGATGTCTGGGTGCTTTAACAATACAGTGCTGTAACAATAACAGTGCTTTAACAGTCATAACAATATATACAATAAAAATCATAATATTAGATCAAATATAGAAATATATCAATAAAATACCAATCATAAAACCCAGGAAAAAACCCCAACAGTCACAACTTCAATTAATCCAGGGGTATAGCAGCAGTGGAATATAATAAATACCAAATGGATAAAAAGTCATTTAAAATTATTTTAACTATTAAAATATTGGGCAAATCAGAAGGTTTTTGCCTGGCACTGAAAAAGAGTGGAGAGAGGGCACTAGGCACCAGTGGAGCACAATGTGACTTACCTAAACTATCAGGGACTGATATGATTGAGACACCCAGGTCAATGCATGCTCATTTCATTCCGTTCCCCAAGTGATCTTTTGACCTCGAGAATTATTCCCAACTTACAGATGGTATCCTAGACCATCCAAGTGGATTGCTGAAGGGCATACTTAAAGATTATGTGGACCATAGATCGAGCAGGCCTATTTAAGTTTTACCTGTCTCTGTTTTATTTCTTCTTTCTTCAGTTCCAGGAAAGCAGATGGAATGCCAGCAATATTTTCTTGTGCACTTAACAGCAGTGGCCACAGTTCTCCCATGAACTCTCTAGCATTTTTCCCATTCAAGAACCCAGTCAGGTTGATTTGCATCATTTTGGAATCTGGATTCTGTAAAGAGATATGACAGGAAGAAACACAGGTCATTTGAAAACACAAACCCAAACAAGTCATTTTATCGTTCACTTAATCTTCTAGCTAGTGTATTTGTATTCATTACTCATTTTTAAAGGTTACTCAGTAAAGCAGTCCTAACAGATCACCAATTCTTCCTTGACTGATCATTACATTCAGAATGGCCTGTTAGTCCTTTGTGGATTTCATAAGTATTGTGGTCTGTGCAGCCACTGCAACTGAGGGCCAAGAATTTGGTATAGCAGCATCATAATAGTTGATGTAAGTTTCTTTGTACTCCACTTTCTAAGCATTCTTCCCCAATATCCTTTGGTACTGCTGCTTGAAAATATATATTTTTAAAAAAACTGGGATCCATACAATGGACAGAATGTACACTTTAACATTACAGAATTATCATCTACAATATACCTGAAATCCTGCTGTGAAAACTGAACAAAAATTTATGCATGCATTTTCTTACTTTCATCAGCAAACTAAACTAAGACGTCACTAACTAGACTGTGGAATGAAAGCTGCCATATTTTTTGACAATTATGTAATGCCCACAAAGGATTAAGAGGTCAAATTTAGCTCACAGTACAGGTGGACACTTTAGTTCTAACATTGTTGGTCAAAGCAACAAGGTCCATATAACAAGCACAGCTCAACAGCACAAAGCAAGTACAGATTCCAGGTGTCTTCTGTTTCTTCTTGGAACTTTGTGGGGGTTTGGAATCGCCAAGTCCCCTGTAGAGAAAGATGTTCCCTTGGCTTGCTTCCGACTCCCTACTGCAACTCAACCACCTTGAGTTTAATGTTATACCATTTATCTAAATTGCAAAAGACGAACAAGCAATAATGAGTACACAACCACAAAAAGGGAAAAAATTGTTTTAAAAGTTCTAAAGCTTAAATCATGCTTTCTATGAAGGGGAACTACAAACTGTGTATTTAGGCTTGTTACACTAATACATATTAGCAAGTTATTTCCTAGTATAAACTCTCGCTTTATTCAGCTGAACCCTTTAACCTGCCTCCCCAGTTGTTCTATGGAAGTATATAAGATTCCAAATATAGCTGTTTAAACAATAAAATCTCACATTCAGAAATACAGCATTTCTTTTTTTTCTTTTAACAGCAATACCTTTCTCAGTTGAAATGTCAACTGTTCATAAAGATGAGTTCTTTGGAAGAAAGATCGAGCATAAGACATATTAGTGCAAGAGCATTTTGCCAATAGTTCAGAAAAAACACTTCACTGTCTCTTGGGATGCAGTGGCAGACTGTGTAAAATAAAAACTGAGTTTCTCATGAACTAAATTTCATTTATGTAGTTCATGTCATACAACTGATAACTGGTTAGCTATATGCCAGTGGTGCAGTCCAGCTCCATTAACATCAGATGGGTGTCTTGCCACTGATTTCAGTGGGAGGTGGTTTGCACTAAGCTTTCAACCCAAAGTGGGTTGATAGTTGTTAATGTATTAGCCCCACCCAAGCTGAACACAGCCATAGTTCTACACAGAGCAGGCCTCCACTGAATGTCTCTTACCAATTTAGAACTGCACCTCATGCTTTGCCTCTAAATCTGCTTTAATCCACAACAATTTCAAGAGCAGTGTAAAGCTTTGCCCAATTGCTGTCTGCTGGATGCTTTGTCTGTCTTTGGTTCGGCCACTTTACACAACTCACCTCCAAACACACACTGCATCATCAAGGGAGTTGGTCAGAGCGACATTGGACACTCACTCTGCTGTGACCTAATAAGGTGATGGTGCTATACTTCAGACGCAAGGAATAACTTCCATTTTGGTTCAGGCCTTTTAAATCATAAATCACATCATCATTAGAAAATTGCTGTCAAAGTAGCTTAACACGTAACAGCAAAATCAACACAGTAAGTCTGATTTTTTCACCTGAGCAGTTTTGTAAACTATGCACCTTCACTAAAACTGCCAGCCTTAACAAATGTTTTACAAAATGAATTTATTCACAATATACATTGTAACAAATTTCATCCTACTTTCAACTGTTTTTGATAGAGAAATATCAGTTTCCACAGAATTATGCAATACATTTACAAACATGTAAATACAACCACAACAAAATCATTACCTTCACTTCCAACTGGTTGAATATAAATTCAATTACTACATCATCTTCAAATCCAAGGATTTCTGTTACTCTTTTTGTTATCCATGGCTTGATTACTTCCAAGTTTACTTTGCTCATGTCCACCTGTGTTAACAGACAAAAATGTTAAGAATTATATTGATGCTCACTTTGCTTTTTTGTGGTTGGATGCTAATATTCGTAGGCTTTTTTGAGATTTTAACAGGAATATTCACTGGCAAGTAGTGGATTAATGCAAGATTGTTTAATCCATAAACAACTCTAAGTGCCCCTGTTCAGACATCACAGAAACAACCCTTTAATATGTCATTTAAGGACTGTTAATGGAAACAGGAAGCAGCTATGCCATGGTGTGCATCCTCATTCTTCTATTAACCTATGCTCTATTGCCAGATTCCACCATTACATGCAAGCATGCTCAACTAGTAGTCAATTATCTCTTGCAAGCTATGATAAACCAACATATTCCATAAACACAAGTATGGAATATGGAGCTGTCCAGGCTGGACAGTATACGAGTGTTTAAATAAACAAACAAACAAACAAGCCAGCCAGCCCGCCCGCCCAGGTAATGTGGCATAGAATATATTTGCTTTCCTGCCCATTAGTAGACACCATTGATTTGCAACAGTTTATTGAGCCTCTGAGTGTATTATGTCTTTAAAGTGGCAGCCTAGCACCACCATATGGCCTATAGTGATAAGCCAGTTTCCTCAACAAATCCAAACTGAACACTGAAAATGAAATAGGACCTTCCACAGGGAATTTCTATTTAAGAGATTTCTATTAATTGAATTTTTCTGGAATGCTTTTCAATACAGCTTTGGCATCTGCTGAGCTAATAGTAAAATTATCACTTCAGCATTTATACCTCAAACTTAAAACTCTGTATTAGTCTTAAAAATAGAAACACTGTTGCTACTTCTAGTGCAAGCAAATTAGTCATTCATTTTTACTTCCAATGTAGGCTTTAACTCAGACCATACCACATTCAAAACACTATCTGCTATGCTTGAAACATTTTTTAAAACTCCATGTGAATTTCTAAATATAACATACTGAACATACTTTCTTTTCTAGGCATTCTGCAAATTTCAGTTGCTTTAGTAGCTTCTTCTGTTTGTTGCTGAAGCGGTTGTCCTGTTCCGCACTTGTTCCCTATAAAAATAAAACACTTCAATTAATGAACTGTATTTATTCCCAAACTAGTTGACTATATACCCAAAATGCCTTAAAAATATATTGAATCATTGTAAATAACCGCCAGTTAATGGCAAAGTGGTTAAAAAAATCACCCTTAAATTCAGCACACTATCTCTTGCTATCAGTATTAGCTTCTGAATTATTTTAAACTTCAAATAGTTTTGAACTGTAAAATATGAAGCCACACTGAGCACTGTTTTTAGATGAAGAATGGAATAGTTTGAATACACAGGAACACCAAGCTTTATGTGAATTCCTCTGAAGCTTAACTTCATTCTGTAGTGCTATTTAAAATTAAAAGATAGATGCAACAGCTTATTCTTTTATTTATGTTCTCCTTTTCTGCCAAAAACAGCACTCAAAGCAGCTGAAAATACTAAAATATTTACTTTATTTATTAAAAGCTTTTCTATTTGTCCCCTACAGAACGTCTTGGGACAGCAGGTTAAAAATACTTTAAAATAACTTTAAATACAGGTTAAAAACAAGATAATCATGGCAGGGAAAGTGAGAGATTAATAACAGCAATTATTACATTCTGAAATCTGTTAATCAACTGGAAAGCACTCCAATAAGGCAAATCTCATAGCCAGTGAGCGAGCACCTAAAAACAGTAAACTAAAAAACAGTAAAGATTGCAAATGCTAACAATACCTGCACGTAAGAGCATTCTTAAATATATTTATGCAAAAAGTCAAGATTCTTGGCTTGACAGATCTTAGCATGACTTAACATGATCCAACAATTAACTTTCTAGCCATACTATAATTTCTGCAAGCATTTAACTATTCAAAACTTGTATCTGCTTACAGTCTTTTAGCAGCTAACAGTTTTGCGTCAAAAGAGAATGATTTACTCAAACCTTTCTTTAAGCTTATACAACACAGCTTCAGGATAAATAAGATTTATTTCATCCTAAATTGAAAGGTTGAATTGAAAGGTTTGATTTTTTTTTAAATATACAATAGGTTCATTTTAAGTAACATTTTCTGTGATTTTCTATAGTTGGTGAGAATTACTGAATATCACAATAATGTTTGTTATCTTCACCCTATCTGTCCCTCACCCTATTCCAGGGCCAATTAGCTTTTTTGTAACAACTTGCTTAAGAGATCTTGAAAGCATGTGTATTTTCTATGATCTCTGAGTTGGTCTAATCAAGTGGCTACTGAAAAAACACACACTTATTTTGCTACTGTCAAAATAGCAAAAACAATCTGCAGTTTTAATGCACGAATCCACAGTGTGATGCAATTAGCATGTGAGCCTACTGTAAAGATCAGAAGCCCTGAAACTTAAGAGGCTAATGCTTACCATATGCAAGGCGGGAAGATCACAAGAGGTGATGTGCCTTCTCGTCCTTGTATTTTTTCTAAATACTTTTTTTGGTTCATCTAACAAAAGCATTTGGAGGGGGAGGGAAGAAGACTGCAAAGGCCCATGGATAGCAGGCCTCTCTGCCTGCTTTAAAACAAAAACCCTTCCCGCCCCAGCCTTGGAGAAGCAGCCAGTATGGTTCTTCCTGCTCCAGCTGCTATGAGGACTGAGGCTGGATCACGAACTTCCTGTTCTGAGATGGGAGTGCTGTCTCTGATCTTGGATCTCAAAGCCCAAACTATGCTATTGCCCCTCAGATGCTGCCTGGGGGCCACAGGATTGCTTCATTAGAAATCTTATAAGCATGTGCAGAATTTAATGTATACATTTATGAGTCACTTTTCAGCAAAGACTCAGAAAGTGATTTACACTTAAAACTAGCCAAAAAAGCTCACCGCCTTTTAGAAACATTTAAAAACATATAAAAATGTTAGAACATCATACATGGAAGAACATCTTAAACCCAGAATGCCTTACTGAGGCTTTGAGCAAGATTTACTCTACTTCTGGACAGGTGAGAGCAGTTCCCAAAACAACTGCACTCCATATATGCCCACATGGGGTTGCAGTGGCCCCACAATGTACAAGAAGAGGCTTAATAAGATGGCAAGCAGTCATTTGACTGGGAAGGGGAAGGGGGAGAAGCACAGGACTGGCATCTGAGTCACCAAAACACAGGGACATACTCATTCCAGAATGCACCCTCTGCAATGGTGCAGACACCTTCATGGTCTTATTATTTAAGGACAAGGCGGTACAGAGCAGTACAAGGTATGTGTTTTGTATTCGATGTTGTAAGCCGCCCCGAGGCCTTGGCAAGGGGCGGCATAGAAATGTTTTAATAAATAAATAAAATGTGTGTTTACATTCGCAGCAAAGATTCTATACAGTGCATGCATATCCACCATATTACGGGGCAAGATTCTGGCCAGCTGACTTGTTATTGTGATTGATTCTTATCCAATTCATGTTTCCTCCTGAACTGATTCTTTGGCCATGATCAAATATTACACAACCAAGTTCCTGATGTTGTATAAGTGGCAGTCTGCATATTTTAGTGCATCATGGGTTCATCAGAGACTAATGACAGGACTCATGAACCCTTAACTAGCCTCTTTCATACTTGAGAGTAGCCATCTTCTGCTTTGCATTTATGTCCAAAAAGCGTGGAACCTTTCTTTTTCCAAATAAGTGGTAACAAATAGTGTTTTTTTTATTGGCTTGGGAGAGCCAGTGTGATGTAGTGGTTAAGAGCACAGGATTGGGACTCAGGCATTCTGGGCTCTAGCCTGCACTCAGCCATGGAGCCAACTGGGTGACTTTGGGTCAGTCACAGAGTCTCAGCCTAATTTACCTCACGGAGCTATCATTATGGGAATAGGATTGAGAGCAGGAGTTGGAGAATTATGTAAGCTGCTTGGAATTCTTTGTAAGGAAAAAGGCAGGATTTAAATTAAAAATATAGTTGCTTATTTGCTGACATCTCATAATCAGTGACTAATAAAATGTCAGCTGACAATATCTAACCAGACTGGCACACCTATGTGTCCTGATACTCTTAAAAAAGTATAAGATCAAAGTATAAGTATTTGATCAGTATAAGATACAGATCAAAATATATCACCCTAGTACTACCTAAAACTAGCACTGGCTGACTTTTTGGGTAAAGACGACACAAATCAAATCCAATCTATTATTGCCAGTATAATGCAACGCATCCTGGGTTTTTTTTACTGCTGATGTGAACAGGAAAAGCAAACAGCAGTGTGTGTTTGACACCATGCCAGAGTCAGGCACAAGTCATGCAGCATGTTCCATAAGCTGGCTAGGCCTGGCTAGGCCAGTGTTTTGAATCTTTGTTCCAAGAACCTTCAATAATAGATCAAAGACATTTATGTATCACCCTTCTTCAAAATATGAGGCAGTGAACACTGCTGAAGGCATTACTTTTCTCCATGAGAAACCAGTGACTACTGGCATCTTCCTGCAGTGCTGCAACAGAACCCTGGAAGTGTTGGTGGCAGAAAGATATTAAAGAAAGTTCCTTAAGTCTCGTTGACTTGCTGATGGCATATGTAGACAAATTCTCCTCATTCCAGAAAAAAAGCACTTTCCCCAGTGTGTCCTCATATTTGTTTCCAGTCACAGGAATAGGCAAAGAAACAGCTTTCTGATTACATATAGCCACACATCTTGTTATGCTATAGAATATGTATGTGTATCTTAAATAAAGAACTGTTACTTTTTTGCTACTTTTTGTAAAACCAGGAATGCTCTCCTGGTGTGTGAAGACTGGGATTAGTCCTCTTGAGCATATTTGCGTTTTGAGCAGGACTTCTGCACTTGGTGTGTCTGTTTCAATTCAATGCCGGACCCTCGCCATACCTGTTCTCATTTTGTGCGTGCGTGCGTGCGTCTCGCCCCAGTTAATACATCTGATAAAATGTAAAAAGACTCTAATCCAAGAAAACGCCTGCCACACACAATAAGCGCGCCCCGCTGTTAAAGTTTGTGGCGCTTTGATG